AATATGTACAGAATGACTGCCTAAACAGATTCCAACTTCAGGATAAATTGTTGTGGTGATGTTGGCTAACAAGGCTGAGTGCTCATTTGCAACAAAAGCATGGAAAGGCAAGATTTGCAGCATTACGTGTGGCAAGAACATGTAGAGTGGCAAAATGTTTGCAAGAAGTGGCATCACCAACGGCAAGATAAGTTGGCAAATTAAAAAGGCCACAGTGGACTTTGGCAAGAAGCGGCATAACTGACGACGAGATCAGTTGTCAAAATAAAAGGCAAGAGTGGGCCTTTGGCAAGAAACTGCACAACCTACAGCAAGATCAATTGGCAAGTTAAGAAGGCAAGAGTTGGCTTTTGGTAAGAAGCTGCACAACCTACGGCAAGATCAGTTGGCAAATTAAAAAGGCAAGAGTAGGCTTTTGGTAAGAAGGGGCACAACCTCCAGGAAGATCAATTGGCAAGTTAAAAAGGTAAGAGCTGGCTTTTGGCAAGAAGCTGCACGACCCATGGCAAAATCAATTGGGAAGTTAAAAAGGAAAGAGTGTGCTTTTGGCAAGAAGCAGCATGGCTGACGATCAGATCAGTTGGCAAATTAAAAAGGCCACAGTGGACTTTGGCAAGAAGCGGCATAACTGACGATGAGATCAGTTGTCAAAATAAAAGGCAAGAGTGGGCCTTTGGCAAGAAACTGCACAACCTACAGCAAGATCAATTGGCAAGTTAAGAAGGCAAGAATTGGCTTTTGGTAAGAAGCTGCACAACCTCCAGGAAGATCAATTGGCAAGTTAAAAAGGCAAGAGTAGGCTTTTGGCAAGAAGGGGCACAACCTACGGCAAGATCAATTGGTAAGTTAAAAGGGAAAGAGTGGGCTTTTGGCAACAAGCGGCATGGCCGACGATCAGATCAGTTGGCAAATTAAAAAGGCAAGAGTAGGCTTTTGCCAAGAAAGGGCACAGCCTATGGCAAGATCAATTGGCAAGTTAAAAAGGCAAGAGTGGACTTTGGCAAGAGGCGGCATAACTGACGATCAGATCAGTTGTCAAAATAAATGGGCAAGAGTGGGCCTTTGGCAAGAAACTGCACAACCTACAGCAAGATCAATTGGCAAATTAAAAAGGCAAGAGTAGGCTTTTGCCAAGAATGGGCATAGACTATGGCAAGATCAATTGGCAAGTTAAAAAGGCAAGAGTAGGCTTTTGGCAATAAGGGGCACCACCTACGGCAAGATCAATTGGCAAGTTAAAAAGGCAAGAATGGGCTTTTGGCAAGAAGCGGCACAACCTACGGCAAGATCGATTGGCAAGTTAAAAATGTAAGAGTAGGCTTTTGCCAAGAAGGGGCACAACCTATGGAAAGATCAGTTGGCAAGTTAAAAAGGCAACAGTTGGCTTTTGGCAAGAAGCGGCATAACCTACAGCAAGATCAGTTTGTAAGAGTAGACTTTTGGGGGACAGTAAGATTGGGTTGGCTGGGAGGATTTAGTTCAAAGGGAAGGTTCCACTGCAGCGTTCGATTAGCCTCATTTCGAGGCTTCCCTTGCGTGTAAAACTGTTCATACTTGCATACGAACGACATGATCTTGCATAATGTATACGAAATTTCTACCAATCAAAACATACTTGTTGACTTGTTCAATATAAAGTACGTATGAACGACGTAAAAACAAGTCCGGCAATGATTGGCTGCTACCACTTTTGGTAGAAAAGCCCATTCGCTGTGTACAAACGGTTGGTCAAACGCTATGTACAAGAACCCGCTTGGAAAACTTTCTACCATCTGTCTTTCTTTTGCCGCTAATTGGGGATGTAGTTTAACTCTGGGCGGATAAAGCCGGCAGGATTTCTCCGGAATCATCCCTGCCATGCCTGCTGCTACCGGTCGATCCCTACTTTCGGATGACGTCTGAAGACTATACGTACACGACGGGAACCAGTTGACAACATTTCAACGCTAGAGGTTATTTCAAGAAAGACTATTTATTTAAATAGTTTCGCGGCGTCTCTGGTAATATCCAGGGAATCTGGAAAGTGATTAACTCCCTTCTGAATTGACACAAACACGGTGAATCCACTTCCTATTTTTTTCCAGGATGGGGCTGTAATTAGAGATAACAAGGACATTGCCGCGGTGTTTAATGATTACCTTGTCAATATTGGAGGTAGCCTCTCCAGCCAGCACTTCCTTTGATTCTTTTCTAAGTTACAAAAAAATCAACATCGCAGTTTTTCCCCCCTATTACCCAATGGAGCTTGCGGATTGTATAAGCAAATTTCTTTCTGGGTAGGCTCCTGGTTGGCATGATCAGAGTCCCTTAAGTTTTCATCAAGCAGGCAAGGAATGCAGTCATTGGCTGATATCTTTAACAAGTGTCTAACAGCTGGAGTGTTTCCTAATCGTCTAAAAATAGCCAAATTAATACTGATTTACAAAAAGGTTGTAAGCACGATATAACTGACTATGGACCTATTTTTGTTCTGTCTACGTTTTAAAAATTGTTTGAAAAGCTTATTTATCAAAGTTTATTATCTTTCATCAATAAACATGACATTCTTTCTAAATCACAATTCGGTTTCAGACAAAAACGCTTATACTGAATTGGCGATATCGTATGTTAGTAAATTATGTATGCGATTGACAAACAGAATTTCTCCATTGGTGTATTTCTAGATTTATCAAAAGCTTTTGACACTGTTAGTCATAATATATTAAGTAAAAAATAATGCTACCCGGTGGTACAGCTCTGGACTCGGTGAAAAGTTATCTCTGTTGTTCGTTTAAATCGGTTAATTCCAGCAGTCGAGGAATCGCATGTGGGGTACCATAAAGTTCTGTGTTTTGCTATTTATACTTATAGGCAGTATCTCAATCAGTACATTTTGTTTATTTGCCGATGATACGAGTCTGTTGTATGCACACAATAATGTAAATGAAGCAATCCAAAACCATGCTAAAATTAATGAGTGGCTTTTAGCAAACAAATTGTGTGTTAATGACTTCAAATCGCATAACATAATTTTTTGTCCAAATCAATTTAACTATACCCAAAATGCTCATTTGATCTTAAACAATTCGAGGTTCATCCAGGTTAAAAGTACAAAATTTCTGGGTGTGTTAAACCTAGATGAAGTTCTTACTTAGAAATGTCATATCGATGAGGTAGCTACAAAAATATCCAAGAATATAGGCATTATTAATCGCTTAAGGTTTTATCTTCCGGATAAGGTTTTTAACACTGTACAGATCCTTAGTTTTACCCTATTTGAATTACACTAGAATTACTTGGGGCAGCTCGCCATCTAGATAAAACAGATTACTTACTCTACAAAAGCGAGCGGTTCGTATATTTAAAAAATAATGCCGGTCTCCGTGATCACTCTGCTCCATTGTTTGCTAAATTAGATCTTTTACAATGTAATGACCTATACTACCTGAATCTCGCGACGTTTATGTACAAATGTAAGGCATGACCTACTCTCTCCTTGTCTTATAGGCTGTTTCACCTTGACATTAACCATCATTACAGTACATGAAGTATTTAAAAGGGAAACTTGTGCGTCCAGTTTAATTTTCAATGTCTGAAAATAATGTTATTCACCAAAATATACGGTATTGGAATTGTTTAGATGATTCTATGAAATCACTACTGTCTTTACCTGTCTTTGTAAAGAAACTATAAAACTCAATTTGGAGAGAAGTTATAGGAATTTTTCTGAAGTGCTCTTTTAATTAAGCATCTTTCCCTTGTCTCGCCTTGTGTGTAGGTTTTTTTCTTATGGCCTCGTCGCCTGTCTATATGGGATAGAAAAAGCATTTGCTTAATCCTAAAACCTAAATGTTGTCATTTTCTTCTGAATGTTTTGTAGCTATGATAACATTAATGATATTTATTGTTTGTGACAAATGTACGTATGTTTATCTAATTTGTGTCCACAATGACAACTTTCAATAAATGTCCTCCTCCAACTAACATTTTAACTGCGAAAGGGCCCTTTTTTCGGAGTCAAAACGAGGGCTTCTGCGCTGAAAAACTTTTGCGTGCGTAAAGCGCGCACCCAATCTCCATTTCGGTAGACTTGTAAAGTTGTATCAATCGTACTTTTACCTTCCGATCCGGTGCAACTGAGAGCGAGTAAATGCGTCGGCATTATTGTCTCTGTTTTTTTTGTGCTGTTCTTACTCAACTTGAATTTTTCAGTGGATGTTTAAAATTTTTAACGTTAATTTTGAATTAAATAGTTCAGATCCAATGATATGGCTACGCTAGACCACTCTCAGTGGAATTATAACTAAGAACTTGGCAGACACTTTTAACGATTGTTGCAGACATCGATAAAAGAATGAGTCCACCAAGAAAAGGAACTTTGCGATACCCAAATATTTATTATTCCTTCGGCAAACAGCAACATATGCAATAAAATGAATGTCAAAGTTCCTGCTGCAAATTAAGATTGGGGTAAAAAGTTCTGGTGAAAAAAACTGAAGTTATTCCATGCCAGATAAATAAATATAAGGTTGTTACGCACTGCTGTCAAGTTCCCATCTCGGTCTTTCGGTGAAGGACATCTTTAAGGAGAACACTGGAAAAAATAGAGTAAATTACAGGTAAATGGAACTTTATCACAGAATAAGGTTATTTTCTTTCCTCTGAAAACTAAATCATTCTGTTTATCCTTATTTATTCATGAACAAGGTGCTTTCAAGGCCATCGTACAAACCATTTCTCGATACCACACGTGGCAGCGCTTCCACTTTCAAGGAAATTTCCTTATTTTTAGGAATTTTTTGCTTTTGAAGGAAATTTTAAGGAAATGAAAAAATCTAAGGCGATTTTGAGGAAATGCCCCCAAATCTAAAGTAATTCTGAGGAAATTATTAAATTTTGAGCAAATTTTACATATATTCATAAAATTAGCAGCAAAATCTACATTTCAAACTCTACAGTAATATTCTTTCAGATTCAGGATGACTGGAAACAAGACTAATAGAATAAAACTTTCTGCGCGTGCGCACAACACACTTGAAGCCCGCATTAAACGCAGCCTGATTTTTTGTTCAAGACAGTGAGTTTGGTTTGAGCATAACTTTGGAATCTACCATGATTGTACTGACGTCTGCCTATCATCTAGTAGACAAACATAGTAGTTTTGTTAGTATATTAGGCTTTTTGGTGGTTAACTAAAAAATAAGGAAATCGGGAGGAAAATAAGGAAATTTGGCTCTGGGGATAAGGAAATTTTCATTTTGACTGTGGAAGCACTGACACGTGGACGCGATAATTCCACCTCCGCTTGCAACAGTGAGTACAAAGACTTTGAGCTATCGTAGAGGACAATAAATTGAACCTCGAACAAAATCTTTGTTTAGACTCAGTTAAGGAGTCGACGTGCACCCCGCAGTTAATTCTAAGGGAGTACTACAGGAGTGCATGCCCCAGGCACGCGGTCACAGAGGGCGCCAGAAGGACTGACCAGCGGCGGAGGACTGGACCCTCAGACATTGTGTAAACACGCGTGGTGCCAGTAGTGGTGATGCGTGCACTGTGCAGGATTCAGTGCATACTACTATACTGTATGTGAAGACCATGTTTGTCAATGTTAGTACACGGTATCTATAACCATGAACTGCATGGCCATGTTTCCCTTGTTGCTCTGTCTGTCTGTCTGTCTGTCTGTCTGGAGTCAAAGATATGTCATGTTTATTTTTGACTGTAGTGGCCTAGGCCCTATACACCTAAATGTTCAAAGTGTGCAATTGCAAATGGTGGTTATCCCCCCCCCAAAACCCCCCAATTTCCAAAGAAATTACTAAAATCTTTAATTGTTCTACAGAATTCCCCTTTTGTTTCAGCTCTACTAGGTGGAACGTCAGTATTCCTCCTCTTCGATTTTGGACAGGATCATCATTGAAAAAGAGGAATACTACCGCTCTACTTATTGACTTAGTAGAGCTGCTTCTGTTAATTCCCAATTCATTTGTCCAGCAGCAAATGTTGTACATGTATTACAAATGGGTGTGCCCATAAATTCCTTGTCACTGGAGACTGTTTCTGGGCAAATGGTGTGGTAGTATATGCACAAGTGAGTTATACTTTGTAGTGTTCATGGGACCTTGAAACTGTAGGCCTAGGGCCTTCTTCAAATGTGTCATGTCTCTTGCTTAACGCTGCAGTGTGCCAATAGGGATTGATTGTCTTATGAGCTAGCTCAAGATATCTTCCAAAAGAGGTTACTTGAAGCCTTTTACACTACAGCCTTTCAACGTGTGGGTTGAACTCAACCCGAGTCGAAAATTTGATTTTTCAACCCCACTGAGGTGGCAACCTGGTGGTGTTTCACACTTGTTTAGTGCGAACCAAGCTTGTCAAGGTGAGTTCAACCCAGAAATGAGCACGAAAAAAATTTCAACCTGGGTTGGAAATGCTCAACCCTGATCTGGAGGAAGGTTGAGTTCAGATTTCAACCCGGGTTGAAACCAATCTGAAAATTGTCAACTGAGAATTGTCGCTATGCAGTTTCAACCCTGCGTCAACCCCGAGATGTGTCCAGTGTGAAAAGGCCCATAGTGTATGGTAGTGGAGTTCCACACTATGGTCCATGAGTGAGTAGTTCACTTGGCATAGTCAGTGAGAAAAAACTTGAAGAATGAAAGAGAAACACAGTTGGCCTATTGAACGCAAGAGAAACACGATTGACCTTTGGCATGCAAGTGTACCAGTAACACTGACATTGCTGATTGGCAAAGTACACGGACGTGTAGATCTGATTGAGCAAGGTATGTTGTACCGACAAAGGAACAGATAGGCAAAGAAAGAGAGAGAGATCGGCTAAGTTGGGCCAATTGGGAGTCTTTATTTTTATTCCAAGAACTCACTCAATCTTCCATTTCAGTACAGTGAGTAGCTAGTGGCTATGCCAGGTTAAAGAATGTAGAACTCTACACAGGTTGTGCATGGCAGCCATCTTTATAAGAGCTTTTGTTCCACATGGATACACGTGAGAACACCTGTGGATATACTCCGTATCGAAAGTGCTAATGGGGAAAATGGCTGTTGTGCACAACCTCTGCTCCCAGTCTACTTCTCTTCCGATTGAAATGGGTTAAAAAAATTAAAATCAGCACATTTATAAAGGGGAAGGGGGTGATCTTTTGTCAGCTGGAGATGATGGCAGTGAGGGGAAACGTAACGTATTTATAACATTAAAAGGAATAGGGCATGTATGGTCTATTTCGTGAGAATTCAGTGAGGTCATGACCGTGGGTGACACTGACCCAGGGACTTTGGAACGCCCTTAGTCGGGCATAATTGAAATAGGTTTAGTAGGATTAGGGAAGGGATGCCTAGATTGAGTATTGGACATTGGTTATGAAGGACACCAGTTAAACTGGGTTAGTCAAATTCGAAGTTAGTGTCATGGGTTGGACTTAATCTGCACTTGGTATTTTTCAGAAGCTTTTTTCGTCGTTCAAGGTCGGCGTGGCTAAAACAAAGGAGACGGTTTGCCTATTTCAAATCATAGTCATAAGTTTGGGCATGGGTGGGGGTGCTGCTTATTTGTAATGTATCATTCTTAGTTTCTTCAGGTTTTACATTGTTATTCTTGGTAATTGTGAACTAGCTCTGTGTACCATACTTAAGAATCACTGGCTTAGCAGGAATCACTGGCTTGGCAGGAATTACTGGCTTAGCAGTGCACAAGGGGAGCGCTTTAAGCTACGGATGATAATCTGATTGTGTACAGAGTAGGGGCATGAAAGGAATATTTCATTACATGATCGTTCAAAACCTGTGGTCAAAAGAGTTGAATCTGTGTAAGAAGCAGCTCAATTCACACACTGATTGGGAAACATTTCACTTTCATGCCCCCTAAAGTGATGAAGATGTGGTTGGCTGGAGATCTAACAGACTTGGCGACCTTGATTTCTCTAGCAGTCTTCGCTGTTTGTTTTCATTTGGATCTGCAACTGATACAGAAAGTAAATGTGTGTTTATGATTCAGTTTTTAAAGTAAGACTTTGAAACTCTGTCCTACTCTATCATGCGGAAGTCAAAGGAAGCCAGATTGAAATTCGGGTAGACCTCGAATGCAATACTCTGCTGAATATTTTTGAGAGGAGCTGTTGGATTAGTGAAATTGTTTGACTTTTTTGCAGGGTTTTCTGCACTTTTAGGACTCAGTGTGGACGAACTGGACATCATTTGAAAGATATCAGTGTCACTTGGACAACAGGTATAATTTTAATTTACATTTTGATATCTGATAACCAAACTTTGAATGCGTCGTGATTTTGTTTTGACACATTCACTGGCATTGGTATTAGTCAAGAATAACTCTTGACATGTACATGTATGGCCAATGGATTGAATAAAACCATAAATTTCAGGCGCTTGACAAGTGTCTTTAAAGATGACAGAATGCGGCCAACTCAATGGATGGTACCGTCCAACTACATGCTGGATGTAACACTTGTCCTGTGGCAGAGAGAAGCAAGTATGGGTGATAGGGCTCTGCCCAAATACACAGATTTGGGAATCGGCCCGAAGCCCCGTTTGTGAGGCAGTTTGATATTCAACAATAAACAAGGAAGCCATTTTGGATCATTTTTCCTGAATTCAATGTACACGTTATCTCTCAAATGGGGTGGTGCCAGACTATTTTGCCTTACATTCATTTTTTTAATGATGTTGCTTAAAACATTCAGATGTAATGAATAACATATTGTAAATTACCGTAAACGAAGTTCATCTGCCATGAACTTTTTTCAATGCTTTAATTTTCATTTTCCTGAAAAAGAAAAAGTCAACCTTGCTTTCAGCTCAATATGGCCGACTTGTGAATGAGATCAGTTGAAATTCCATTCCTTATGTAGCTGACATACATGGCATATAGGCATGACACTGAGGTTTCAGTTTGATCATGATAACAGTTACCTTAATGCATACAGGAACACAATTACTCCAACTAGCTAGAATTTTTTTTTGGGGGGGGGGAGGAACATCAAATCTGGTAATTTATAAAACGTTAAAAGAGGACTCACAGACAGTAGAGTTCAGTCTACATGTGTGCATGAATGGGGTCAGGTTCTGGTGGCTCATCATACATGTATGGTTCCAGTGGCTCATAGTCTGGTTGTGGAGGTCCACCTGCCATGCTTCTAAGCTTTTGATTCTTTAAGCAAACAGAAATGAAATGGTAAAGAGGGGCTACACAATGACTTCACTTGGAAAACGGCGACTGAATGTTTTCCAAAGGCTGCAAACTTTCCTTGTATTTTGCAAGTGCAGAAGAAGAAATGGAAAATATGATTGAAATGTAATAAAATTGTCTTTTTTTTATTGTGAACTGAAAACTCTACATACATCAATTATTCCGTTTATTCATTTTGGTTCTAGGCGATCATCTATTGGTTCTACAAAATATCCTTGGGGCTGCATGTACATGTAGATCTTAGAGCTGTATTAAATGAATACAGCGGTAACTTTGAGGCCCCGAGTGCAGACATTTTGAATTCGTGTGTGTTGTTTTAGAAAATAATGAAATCCTATTTATAAAACAAATGCTGAATCATGGTCTAAATGCAAGATGCAAACATGCACAAATAGGATGTACGGGTACCCGTATATGTACCGGTACCCGTATATGTACCGGTACCCGTATATGTACGGGTACCCGTATATGTACATTGTTCCACGCTTAATGCCTTCATTGTACAGCACATTTGATCATATCTACATGTATATGAAATTTGCGCTTTATAAATGAATATATCATCATGCACATTAATTTAAGGTACATGTACATGTATGTTGTGTATCACTGTAAAGCATGAAATAATGCAGCAAGCATGCGATTGTGTTAATGCCCTGTATATTGTGCATTTATGCTCCAGCTTACATTGGCTTTGTCTTAGATACACAGCTACATGTACACAAACTTGAGAGACACAAAACTTCAAGTGTTTGCATGAACATGGCTGCTCCCAGCAGGTTTCACTTTCCACAGAGTGAGCAGTCCAATGATTTACTTAATATAATTCCGCAAACATCTGTCATGCCATGAAATTATTCTTACCGTTGCACTATTGAACATGCGGCATGGTTAGGATGGGTTGCTGTAAGAGCTTACCTGTTCCATTCTCATATATGACTTCATTGCGATATCTTCTCCATACATGTATAGTTTGCCCCTGATGTACATAAAAGGCTGTTTACTAGCTTTCTTCTGTGAGAAATGCAAATTAAGAGTAACCGGGTCTAAATACATGGTGAGGTATATTGCAAATGTCTGTCCACATTCACAAAGAAAAGCTGCTTTTGTACACTTTCAAAAGGGGGGGAGGGGAGCATAGGGATGCCTTGTATTCACTCAAAAAATAAATGAAGAAATAAAAAGAAGAGAAAGGGGAGGGAATAAAGGGAGGGAACCAGCTCCATAAATACGACGAAAGCTTTGAAAAAAACAACCTCCCTAATCATACTGCTGCAACCCTAGAATTTGTAGTTCACTTCCCCCTTCTTGGAAATCCTGCATCTGCCCCTGAAAAAGTTAACAGAAATTGGCCCTGCAAAATGTGCAAAGAGGCCAGAAACAAATTTTGTTTTGGATTTATGAACTTTGTAGCATTACCTCATTTTTGATGTAAATTTGTTGGTGTTCAGTATCCTCCTGACTTTTCTTCCAAGGAGTTTGATGTTTTATATTTCCATTCTGTGGAAAATGAACAAAAAATTCCATGGAAAACATACTTTGACTGGGAAAATGTACTGTTTCAATTAACTGATATTGTTACCTCATGGTAAGTTATCCACGCGAACTTCAGTTCAGACTTTTAATTCCAAACCCTTCTAATTCCAAACCCCTTGCTAGCTAAACACTGAAAAGTGTGAACCTTAGTCATTCACATGTATGTTTGGGTACATTATAAAACAAAAAACTGGAAAATTACTCTACATCTAGGAGAAGAGTCAAATTATTGTAGTCGTTTTGATTATATTTTTCCTGTTAAAACATCTGCAGTGATTTGTTGAAAATACTGGGAGATAGTAGAAAGAAATTGTTGTCTAAGAAAACGATTGTGACTTTCTGGAACAGCACTCCCGTTAAGTGTCACAGGCAAGCTTGTCATCACTCTTTACCTTCTTTAGTAGAGGAAGTGGCTTCTTCATGATTTCCCACCATTCCTCTTCATAATGGTAGTCACAAAGATATGTAAGAAATCGACGAACATCATCATCCCAAGTATTCTGCATAAAAGAAGATGTATTCTGTGACTGTTGACCCAAAAACTAGGAAAGGACTTAACACTAGCCCGTGAAACCTGGTGTGCTACTTTTTTTCAGTAGCTGGGGGACCAATGATTCATGAAGAAGGTACAATGCAGTATACCTTTTAAGACATTTCAAAAACGGGAATCCAGTAAGTCGCTTCGGTAGCTTAGTTGGTAGTGATTTGAACTGCAGATCCATAGTCCCTGGTTCGAATCCGACCCATGTGTGCTATTCAATTTACCATTTTTATCATTGTGTTTGGGATTTCCTTTTTCAATTGCTGCAGAAACAGAGTCCAAGCATGAACCCTCTAAGAGTCTTGAGAAAAATAGCAGACCAGGTTTCACGAGTTAGTATCTAGTCACTTCCCAAAAACAAGGCAGAAACACCGAGTTGGTGATTGGGATGATTTATCATTTTCTTCCCCACTCTTTTGTTCTATGTACTGTACGCGTACATAGAATTTAACATTCAAGTGTGGAGAAAGCCTAGATACATGAATATTTTCTTATATGTGTAGCTTGGGCAGTGATGAAAGCTGCACATGGTCACAGTTCGGAAAAATTTACATTTTCACTACTGTACAAGTATACATGTAGGTGCACGTAAATGTATCTGCCCTACTTGCTTGTTTGTTTTATAATCATAATGGCCTTCTTCTTAACATGTGTACCACCAACGTTTATTCCGGAAAAAAATCCTTAATCGTCAATTTGTACTGGTCAAACACTCACCTTTTTAGCTCGGATGGTTGATGTATGTTGCGTTGATTTTAGAGCTATGAAAGGTTGTTGCTCATGATTCTGTGGGAAAAAAAAAGCCCCCCCCCCAAAGAAGCGTAATGTAACAGTTACCTGAGCTCCACCAGCGGGCATACCGAGCACACTTTTCAAATTCTTTCAATACCTTTTGGGTTGGGTGCACTCTGTAGGTATATAAGACTGCTGCACGCATTGGGGCGCTGGTCATTCTTTTGGTTTCTTTATGTTTGTAGCCACTTTTACGTTTGGGTTTCTTGGCCTTTAGCCATGCTCTCTCCTCCAGCCCTGCACCTGCACTGGTCATATTACTTGTGTTACCCGATATTTTAATTTATCTACATTTGTTAATTTGCCTTTTGGTTATCTTTGTAAATTATTTGCATTGTGTGATTTCAATACTAAATTTGGGAGGCGCCCCCAAAGTCTGTCTTGCTTTTACGTGTTTTACTTGGTGGTTGTTAATTTGTATTCATTTTCCCATACCCCGGCCTGCTCAGCCCGTTACAGTAATTTGTACCTTTTCAGGAACAGTACAATACACCCCTATTAAATTAATGCATACAGCGTGGTACATGTACATGTACATACATGTATAGCTACATACTGTACATGTACATTTAGCTATACTGGCCAGCACTACATGTAGCTAGCATTTCAAATCACCAGCTGCCTTACTGGCTGATGCAAATTTTGCTGCATTATTTGACAGTTTTGAAGTTTTGAGAGAAAAAAACTTTCAAAACTTCTCAGAACTCTTTTTCCACCCTTTTCATTTAACCCATGCATTAGACAAAGGGCATATACCAGCCAAGGGGTATGTACAATACTCAGTTGGTCTGTATGTACATGTACATGTACGTGCTCCCGCTGCTCATTCTTTTAAGTTCAACCCTCTACCGTTAGTCCAAAAATTGCCGACTCTCAAAGTTTTCCCGGCTGCAAGTCTGAATGCATAGGTGTGCAGAATGAACATCTGCACATTTCCACAAGTAAAGTTGACTCTAACCCTAACCCCATAGGGACCATTGAAATCCTACATGTACATAACCTTGTTGGGTTCGGCATGGTTAGGGACGAAGGAAATTTGTCTATGCAATTTGTAGGTCCTCCCTTAGTCTTTAGGCAATTGATCGTGAACGGGACTTACCTTAAAAAACAACTGATTGATGATCTGGCGGTCCTGATTATTGTGTAGATGGTCTATAGGCGGCACGCCAGGCGGAACTGCCATGCTGTTGAGGATGTGAGTAAAACACCTGTAAAGTTTCTGGTTTCTGTGAATGGACAAATGTGTACAGTAAATATATTTAGATTTTGAAACTTTAATCTACTTGAGGGTACCAACTTACCTTTTAACATGCTATAATTTGTTTCATGACATACTATTATTAACATAACCACTTCATTATGAAAATTTAAACAAATTATATTGGGAAACTGACTAGGTGGTTACAAATGATTGTAGAGATGAACAAAGAAAATGACTGCAGCGGGATTTGAACCTGCGGCCTCCCGAATACTGTGCCGGTACTCCACCAACTGAGTTGTCCAGCACTATGTTGGCGGCTCTTTCCATTTGTCAGTATCTGAAACCTGAAACACCATGTAGCCAGGGATCGCGCCCCAGTAACACAATATAACCTGGGAAGTGGTGAACAGGGATCACTCGGAGAGGATGTGGCTTGTTGAACATACCGGTAAATCATGAAACAAATTATAGGCCTATACGGAAACTGACTAGGTACTTAAAAATGTCAGTCAATCTCTTTGTTCATCTTTGTAATCACCATAAAAATTATGAATTTACAGTTGTATTAGTGAAAAGACCTTTTGCTTCAAGAACCAGACGGGTGAAAGCGCAGCATGGCTGGCTGTGTGCGCGTGCTGTTGTCTTGGTGCTGCATTCTGTGTTCAATACAGTACAGTACGGTACAGTACAGTGCAGCTATTTCTTCAGCATGCATTTGGTTCTACTCCTCAAAAAACAATAATTCATACCCCTTCCAAAGAAAAATCTGCCAAAAAAAAGGAGGTGTGACAGAGGGCATATTGAGGGACGTATGATTCCCAAAATTCTGGTTTGCCCCTTTTTGGGTTGATTTTTCTTTTGGAAGGGGTATGAATAATTTTTTTTTTGAGGAACTCATGCAGCAACATGTACAGATTTTTAGAATGGTTTTCATTCAATTAATTTTTTGCAAGATATTGGAAAGAAATGGGAGGCGCCCCCAAAGTCTGTCTTGCTTTTACGTGTTTTACTTGGTGGTTGTTAATTTGTGTTCATTTTCCCATACCCCGGCCTGCTCAGCTCGTTACAGTAATTTGTACCTTTTCAGGAACAGTACAATACACCCCTATTAAATTAATGCATACAGCATGGTACATGTACATGTACATGGGTACATACTGTACATGTACATTTAGCTATGCTGGCCAGCACTACATGTAGCTAGCATTTCAAATCACCAGCTGCCTTACTGGCTGACGCAAATTTTGCTGCATTATTTGACAGTTTTGGAGTTTTGAGAGAAAAAAACTTTCAAAACTTCTCAGAACTCTTTTTCCACCCTTTTCATTTAACCCATGTATTAGACAAAGGGCATATACCAGCCAAGGGGTCTGTACAATACTCAGTTGGTCTGTCCAAAAATTGCCGACTCTAAAAGTTTTCCCGGCTCCAAGTCTGAATGCATAGGTGTGCAGAAGGTGTGACAGGTGTGACATAGGTGTGACAGAGGGCATATTGAGGGACGTATGATTCCCAAAATTCTGGTTTGCCCCTTTTTTGGTTGATTTTTCTTTTGGAAGGGGTATGAATAATTTTTTTTTGAGGAACTCATGCAGCAACATGTACAGATTTTTAGAATGGTTTTCATTCAATTAATTTTTTGCAAGATATTGGAAAGAAATGGAAATCTCCAACAAATTTATTCTTGAACCTATTATGTGTGTATGTACAGTATTACCCTGTTCCTCAAAATCATTAAAAGAAATGCTGAAATTTTTATTGAAAATGGCATTCTTATGAAATATTTGCACACATTCCCAAAGCCAAGGTTCACTTTATATAAGGTGTGAATTGTAAAAGGTTCCAAGAAGTACTCTACATGTATCATGTCTGAAAGCCAGGCAATTCACTCTTGGAAATTATAAGTATTGTAGCCTTGCAGAATGTAATGTTGAACCAAAGAACTTCCTTAACTGCTTCAACAAAGGAGACAAGTTTTGTGTAATGTGAATTACATTTCCTGCACATTTTTATCATCCAAGTACCTGTGTTGTGAACTGTGTTCTCATTGAAAACAAACTTACCACCTGTTAAACCTTTAAAACCAGTCAAAAGTATCTGTTCACACTTCATTAACAGGTGGCATTTCATTGCAGAGACAACTTGGGAAGAATTCCAGCACCAACTTACCTTTTCTCAGTGGAATTCTGAATTTTTTGATGTTCAGTGCTAATCTCGTCCACAGAAATGTTTGTGTTATGGAATTTGGGAATTCCCTCCTTCGTAGTACGTCACACTCTTTGTACGCATGTGTGGTCTTGCTTGTAATTGTAATTATGGACCCCATTATGTGACACTTCACTTAGTTCAAAAGTCAGTTAAGTTGAAAGAATTATTTATTTTATGGGGTTGTACCATTATATATAAGGGGGATACATTCTGCAGAGGATACAAGGGGTCTACATAAATCCAGGAAGAACCTTGTTTGGATTCAGAGAATTGGCCCACATAAATATGATGATGATGACAGCTTGACAGATGAAGTTGTATTGAATCCAACATTGTGCGCAAGCTTGTGACCTTTAATACGACCCTTGATGGTACAGGTGGCAGTGCTCAGTCTGGGAGAAGTGAATTTCCATAGCTCTTCTGAAGTGATTTGTCAAATGTTAGGTACATGTACATACGACAGAATTGACAGAGACAGCCAATTGCTTTTTTTTTTTTGCTTTTTTTTAATTGAAGACAGCACAATTAACCTCTAACAATCTTAAGTGTGAGTACAATGTAGCTACTACAATAACATGCATTATTGGCCAGGCATTCCTGTTAAGAATTTTTAATTGGAACAATCTGGGTAAATATACAAAAAGCAGCCAAGCAGCTTTTACATGTCTTAAGCACTGAATATACTGAGATATACGGTTTACTACTCTATAATTATTACTTTCAACTAGAGTAAATCTGTGAGCCATGCTGTATGATTGTGGAACCGAGGGAGAAAAAGATTGATTCACGATTAACGTTTAGGACATACTTCAGCTGTGGCCTCTATTGGTCAAGGTACATGCATGACTCTTATCTAATATGTGGAGACTTAGGAGTAGTTCACATTTCAGTAGAGTGCCGTCTCTAGGGCGCCATAGGGTGGCCAATTTTGGAGTGCATCATGGGAAAATGGTCATCAAACAGAACTTTTCCATTTTAGAATGTGATGATTTTCAAAATCGTTTTTGATTTTTAAGTTGAAAATAAATTTCCAAAGCTCTGGGGAATTGTAGGTTGGTATGATACTGCAGTAAGTAGGGAGAACATTTTCATCTCGGAGCAATACTACTGTACTAGGTAAGGATCGGGGAGGGGGGTATCCCCACTCAGAAAAAAAAACTGAATAAAACAAAATGGCGAAAATAATAAAAATAATTAAATAAAATATAATAAATGTGTCAAGTAATGTTTCACCATTGTTTCCGCTCATCTGCACATATGAGACATTGTGAAGTCAATACCCTGGTGCACATGTAGACCCACTTCACAAAGGTTACTAGAAACCCACTTAATGTTTTACTTACCCAAACAGGACTGTAAGTGCAACACAAATATTTTGTGGAAAAGGCCGAAGCAAACTTGTACATGTACATGTACATGGTGCAGGAGCATTTTCCATTCATGTACTTCCCTTCTCATTGACCCAGGTTCAAATCCCAACCAGGTCACAATTTATGTCTTTGATCTGTACATGTACGGGTACATGTACCTTGTTCTTTGGGTTCGACTGAGGATTTCCTTCCACTTCTTAAATTGAACCTTTCTGAGTGGTTCTCTCCCCCTTTGAAAAAATTTGGCCACTTTGAAAACTCTGTGGTTTTCATTACCCCAAACAGAAATAAGTAATTAAAACAAATGTTGACAAATAACTACCAATGTTAATTTTGGTTCACATAACCTTTCACCAGTCTGAAGTAAAGTATGAAGTAAAGTTCACCATGCATTGGATCTGGGTCATTTTCTGTGACTGATAGTCTCGGTTTCATACAGTATGTGTACTTGTATGTGTACTGTACATATGCAGTTGCCGATGTTTAGACTGAGCTCAACTCATCCCAGGCATGATGGAATATGTAACAGTTAAGCACCATTTCAAAATTCTTATCGTGTAGGTGTCAGACAGAACTGTTGGAACGATACATTTATTATTGGTTGGCTATCAGGTTAAGTGCTTTCAAGAGGCCAATTCTAACTGATAAATGCCTTTTTATTGCATTACTTCCAACACTATGTGGTTTCACCCCCTCTATAATTCACTCAACACAATTCACTGTTATCGGTTGGATGGCCCTGCCCTATAGTCAACTGATAGGAATTTTGAAATGATTCCTTATTGACGGTGAAAACTCATACATGGGGCACCCAAAGCCATGTCCAGGGTGATGTGAGGCCCTGATGGGTTGAAACATCATATCCCACTTTACGGCAGTCGATAATTGTTTCATTGCAGCCCTGCATTTTCCTCGCCTGAAGTGTCTGGAATTTCATTCAGATGAGATCTTGGTTTGTTGCTGCACAGAAAGTTCTACAATGCACGTGGATTTTTGCTGTACTGGCGTCAGTTGAACTGTGGTGGCCCCATTTGTCTTTGTAGAAATCAAAATCTTCAAGATTCTTTATGTTTTACATAAACATTATTTTTGAGGAGAGTCTGCATGTGTCCTCAAGCTCAGCAGATGTTGCGGAATTTATAGGAAGAAATTAACTTCAAATGAAACATTTTTTGGCCAGAAATTGCAGAGCTCTTACAGAGGATTGCTCCCTTTGCCTGGTTGTTGCTCTTACTGGAGATTGTATTCATGGTTTGTAGTCCCGACATCATGGTTTGACTGAGGGGGCGGAGACTACCCTTTAGTATAATATGCTATGCACAAGGATGGGGGATATTTTTTGAGCAGTTTCATTGGCCAGTTAGGTGATCATTCTAGGCCAGTGAAAATGTAGCATTCAAGACAGAGTTACATGTACATTGTCAAGTTATGAAACTGACATCTACCAATATGACCAACTTTGATGCTTATAAACTCAAGTAGTCCATCACCAGAAACTTTACATTCCCTTCACAAATATTGTTTAAGTCTACATGCTAATATATAGTAAAGTTCAAAACAGCCATGCACCTGATACAATTTATTTCTTAATGATTTCATGCGGTAGTTAATATTGAGCAAAACACTAAAGTAATACTTGCTTATTTAACACTACCATTGACATTGAACGTATTTAGCATAAATTTCTAATTTCTAAAACTCAAATTACACCCATTAATTCTAAAATTTCTATTCTTGTGGCATGAAATGGATATTTCCTCATGTAATTCAAACCAGACTTTTTTTATTAGTCTTGGTTTTTCAAAGTTGTTGTCGTTTGGAGTGAACTTATTAAATTCACAAATGCATGATGACGTATTCAGATTTCATGCCTCAATAATAATAAATGCATCCGTCGTAGGGGTTGGCACCGATTTGAGTGCTTTGATTCCTCGCGGCTCTCATCCGGTTGCTTTGCTGGGCTTTCTCTGCAGGAAAAAATTAAAAAGTTAAAATATTTTTAAGTGAAAAAGTTGTGAATGTTGGGGTTTTGTTCAGCGTTTTTAGGGTTACCTGTATTATCGTCAAATTCTTAGCTCTCAGATTCTCACTTGAAACTTTAAATAAATACAGGAGAATTTTCTCTGGCTGTTTGATAAATGAATATGTCTTGAATAAGCTGTTCTGTGGTATAGTCACACTACATTTGTGTAGCTATTGATATATTTGTATGCAGCATGTTGGTGTAATATTGACTGGCACACATTCAGCACAACTGCAGCCATGGATGTTGTGGGAGGGAGGAGCAAAGGGGGGGGGCTCAATTCCCCTCCCCTAGAAAAAAAGTTGAAAACTTAAAGGGGATGGAAATTACCAATTTGCTTGAAATTACCAGTACCTTGAAACTGACCCCTCTCTACCATTACCTGACCGATCAATTAAACCTTACCCCATTGTTTTTTTTAACAACCACAGCCGTGATTTATGTCCAATGAGCGAGGCTAGAACCTGTGGCATTAGACAAGGACATACATGTGTAAAGTGCCTTTGCGCACAGTGCTTGTCACTTTGCTGCTGATGAGTTATAATCCCTCCTCCCCCCCCCAAAAAAATACTTGCAACGCCCATGGCTGCAGCATGTACATGTACATACAATGACCTTGTCAATTCGTGTCAAATGTGTCTAGGGTCCATTTCGCTCGTTTGGTATACATGTAGATCATGCCAATATGATTGTCTTTTAAAATCACAAAGTACACAGATTGCGCCGTAGTTCAAACGGGATGGAATTGTTTTCTTCAAGGCGAGAGTGTCATGTATCATTCGAACCAAGAATGCAAGAAAAATTTTGTTGACAGAGCAGTTACCATCGAGATACTAACCGTACCTGCAGTGAAGGTGTTGCACAATATGGAGTCCAGTCTACATGTACATGCGTTTGAGCATGAATCCGGCTTCTGCTGGCTCGTCATATGTGAATGGTCTTGGTGGCTCGTAGTTCCATGTTGGTGGCCCACGCACCAAGTTCATCAGATTTTGAATCTTGAACAAAGAATGAAACAAAAGGCCTCACTGTGTGTGCTTCTCATAAGCAAGTCAAATTCGTCACACATTTTTAACCTGTTCACCCAGTTTCCGTTCATCTCTGGGGTCTATGTGGCCCTTGGAGGATGGACACCAGCCTTCATTTTCATTATTACTGATGTCCGAGATCATTCACCTGTTTGTTATTGTTTCCATTAACAGCTAACCTGGAATCAAGATGCTACTGGGGACGATGTCTTGAAATAGCTGCTAGTCTGAATGTTATGAGTGATCTTTGAAACAGAAGAGAGCCAAGCAAAGTTGGACACAGGTGAGTCTCTCCTCTGTTTGGAATTGTGATATATATTACAGTGGTGTAAATCTGTCCCGGGAAATTGGCCTTTGAGACTGGATTTGTGTGGCTGGATTCTACTGAGATACTGTATCCTAATATTTCCAGTTTGTTACTTTAAGAAAGATGGTCATTTTACATTTTTTATGGCCTTAACCCACCTCGAGTAGTGCCCACATCTTTCATGCCTCAAAAGACTGATGGGAATGCCTTGATCCAAACTGGGGGCCAATTTCATAGCGCTGCTTAAGTGAAAAATTTCTATAAGCGTGAAAAACCTTGCTTGACAAATCAGGTTACCAGCCAAAACTTCTTGTGATGTATATTGTTTTTGGAATGGCATTTACATGTACCTGTCTTTTGGTTAGTTTGACAATCACAGAGTTTGAGCTGGTGACCTTTGTTTATTAAGTAAGGTTTTTTTCATGCTTAAGCCAATTTTGTGCTTAAGCAGCTCTATGAAATTGGCCCCAGATGCATTCTTGAAACTTTTTGCCAGGATGATTGTGAGTAGTAGTGTGGGAAAACTTGTGTGAAACCTACCTCTTGCATTCTTGTGCTTGCTCTTTTTTCAATATCCTCACCGTAGTGTTCATTTTCAGTGTCACAACATTTACTACAGGCACTCGCTTCTTTCTGTAACAAGACAAATGCCGAAAATAAATCAAACGTGCCAGAATGGTTACAGTACACATCACTGAGTGTGTGATTTTGAATACAATGTACGTTGAGCCATCACACAACGGTGAAAATGAGCTGTATTTCGTGAGTAAAGAAAGGTTTTGAAAAATTGACCTTGGAAAATGTTTAGAGGGACCGAAATAAGTCTGCTCATTACCCGTGTTGTTTTGAACACACTTTGGTTTCGAATATTCCAAGAAGGTATCTGCAACTGATTCCTGCTCGTTTTCTTGTGTTTCTGTAAAAGGAGAAAAAAAACCCCAGATTTAAAAAAAAATGTGAGCCTGGAAAAGATATTACAAGAGGGCTGTAATTCTTGGATATCTAACTACATGGGAGTATTTGACAGTAGTTTAGGTCCACAACCCATTCCTTGTCGTGTTTCAGCACATTGCAGTGGCTACTACATGTACTGTCTAACGTCCATAGCCACATAGTTACCAGGACCCTAATTTGGCCACCTATTTTCAAATCTCATTGGTTTTCATGTTTTTCACGTGGCACTGAAAATACTGGATCTGGCGACTATACCATCATGGATGTCAAACATGAAAAGACTTGCAGTTACAAAATAACAACAGAAACAACCACATCAGCATAAACCGATAGCAGAACAAGTAAAAGGTGTCTTCACTGCAAGTTGGAATTCCCTAAACTTCATTTCCATCAATGTTTTTATTGGTACGGAGGGATTCAACGTTTCGCCGTTGCATCTGGTTTCTTGTACTGAATACTAAAAAATGTACAGCAATTGGTTAATGCAATGGAGGAAATGAGAAAGGATGTCGTTAATTTCTATTCTTGACTCCTGGAAACTGATAGATTAATAATTACCGCATGACCAGTGGGTTTGCAGGCTACCAGTATCTTGTATACACAAATGTGTGTAGCGTACACCAACCTTACTGAGTAGAGGCAGGGGTTTCTTCATAAATTCCCACCATTCCAACTCTTGATGGTCGTCACGTAGAAATTTCAGAAAGCGCTTGGCATCGGCATCCCACTTGTTGTTCTACATAAAAAGATGTGACTTAAGACACATTTTTAGCTAGCTTTGGATTGAACTTTTCCGAGTGATCTGCCACCTTTTCCTGATTAGAATCATTGGATATGATCCTAACAGCACGTTTCACCTCAGTTTGTGGGATTTTTCCACCATAAATTGATGGCAGTGCATAAGTGTAATGTAGGTACATGTACAATGTTGACCCCATTCAGGAGGTGAAAAAGAATACAATCATTACTTTGATCGAGCAATTTGAAGTCAGCATTTTTAATAAATCTCCTTTGTTATTGCTCCTGAACAGCAACCTAGGCAGCTTTACATCTGTGTTCCCATTCAACACAGTTTTTTCAGAAACTTGAATTCATCCGACCTTATCCTTAAAACAGCATGAATGGCAATGCAATGGTGAATGAATTTTTTGTTACCTCCTGTGGGCAGTTCCAGAAGTTTTTATCCAACATGTCATTTGGCTTTGACATTCCACGAGTTGATGCATTTTATATTAAAAAGACTTACTAATCAGTTACTGTCAAAACTTTCAGCTTCGTGTAAAGCAAAAGCAGGGTTACATGTTTACTAGCTCAAATTGGAGAAGTTATTCTCAAGTTCCCCCCCCCAAAAAATACATGTACCTAACTGCCCCCTTTACCAACCAAAATTGTCCTGTTATTTTAATCCCTCTGCCACCAGAAACTCCCCCCCCCAACAAGCTCTGTGGTTTTGAAATACTGTATTTGATAATACATGTAGGTTAATGAAAAGTATCATTTTGTAATTATCGTGTTAGCTAAATTTAATTAGTATCAAGAGATGTTACACATGGTTACTTTGCTTCAACTATGAATCATCTGTTGTACATACTAGGAGTAAGTCCAGAGTAAAAAAAAAAAAGATAAAATAACTGTTGTATGAGTTTCCCAACCTAGTCTGAAAAGTACACAGAACTTCATGCAAACTTCATAACTAAAGGTTACTGCAGCCTTGACACATACCTTTGTAGCTAGGATGGTTGGCCCATGGTGCTTAAGAGCTATTGTAGTTTTGCTCTAAGAATTAAGTGAAATCATAAGCGTTATTTTTTACATGTAGTGGAACTTTCTTGGAAAGAAAAATAAGATTCACGAACATTAGACTGGCTTAGAATTAATGAACTTATTGAGAAGTTTAATGGTAATAGGTTCATCACAAGGCATTCCTGAGCACGTATTTTAAGCTTTGGCAACTGTTGTACAAGTATACACAGACATGTACTAAGTACATGTACAAATGTACCGGTACATGTGCCTGTATATCTTAATGTTTTAAAAGACTTACCGGTACCTTTCTAAAAAACAAATAGTTAATGATCTGGCGGTCCATATCGCTGCTTAGATCTTGAATTGGCAACTTGCTGAAGACAGACGGAACAGTCATGATGGAGCTGATGTGGACAAAGAAAACACAGGAATTGTATAAAGTACTTAAAATGTTTGAAAAAGACATAGTCATCTTTTATAGGAAAGTGTGTGATACTGCAGCTCATCAACACAAATTAATCAAACTTTGAATAAACTCCCGTTGGTTCACCTTGGTACCATGCCCTTTTAAAGTGTTGGAATTGTCACATTCTACATCCTTACCCTTAGGATCACCATAAAAAATAAAAGTCTTTGAGCAGTTTTCGTTTGCACTGAAAAAGTGGCCAAAAGGAGTTTTTGTCATCAAGAGCCAGAAGTGATCAGTTGTGTTTCAACAGGGAAAAAAATGTATCTTCATGTAGACACAGATTTTCTAGCATATTATGCGTGCATTCCCGGTGTTGTAGCATGTACGAGTACAATGTACCAGTTCGGTACATACTGTTGCATACATGCACGTACATGTACATGCACAATGTCATGGATGAACTTTTTTGACCCAAATAGCCACTGATAAAAACATTTGTACAGGTATTTGCACAGCTGGCATTTTATCACTGACATACATGTACTGGGACATGTACATGAGGAAGAGCTTGTGCTCCAAAACTTACCAATTCTCTCTGGAATTCCGAGTTTTGAAGTGCGGTGCTTTTTGCATGTCGAAAAATATCTTTATTTGGAATTCCCCAGTTTGAGATGCACGTGATGCTTGAAGAGTTTATGTTTACGCATGCGTGGCTTTTATTTGCTTCCTGAAGGTCAAAGGCACTCATGAATTGACTTTGGAAAGAGGAAAAATTGTTTCCTGTGGGGCAAGAACGTGTACTTAAGGGTAGAGTGGTTGTTTCTTTGCAATTAGAGTAAAAGGTGTACAATATGTGAATTTGGCCTCAAATCCTAAAAAGGTATCAATTTCTAATAGATTGGAGCAGGCCATAGGATAGAAAGGGGACTTTTTGAGGCAGTTTCAGACAAGTTTGTTAAGGAAGGGCCACGTGTAAAAGTTATTTCTAAAGCCTCCCCCCTCCAAAGTACAGTACTGCTGCTTTCGATTTTCTGACCGACCCTAACTATTCGGCGTGACCCTAAAATCTCTATTGACAGGTTAGAAAAACAAATTTTAAAAAAGTGGAAAATAAAGAAATAAATCCTGTTGGCTTTTTCTGTCTTTACAAAACACCTCTGAATTTTTTTCAAATATAAACACTTGTTTTTACATGATACATGTTTTCCTACTTTCATTTGCAACTTATAAAAAGAAACTTCTATTATTTTCAGGAGTTCCCTTCGGGTTTTGCTGTCGCAGGGGTGAAAACACTTGCGCAAAGCTACCGGTAAATGCATTAAAGGAATGCCGTGCACATGCAATAGAACATGTGATAGAAATGTGGCAACCATTATACATCTGGTCAAAATAGTGTTGTTACGTTACATCGGCCCCACATGCAAGCAACCCTACAGCTTCAGGTTGAAAAAACATCAATGTTGTGAGAAGATTTCTGCAAGTTAATTCTCTGAATTTTGTCTGTTGCCTGTGTATGTATTTTTCGTGTTGAAGAGTTTAATTTGAAGCTGTACCGGAGACATGATGTGATGTTTATGGCCAGGGTGCCCAAAATCGGAACTTAACACAAGATGGAGCTGCTGGGACTTGCCAATCAAGGTTCATACGTTGTCAGCGCAGAGTGCCGGCATTAGTGGAGGTAATCCATAATTGTTTTGGAACAGTACCATTTGTGCTGCTGCCAGTGCAAGCAGATTATCAGGGGACAAAAGCACTCCAGCACTCGAGTGACGAGCTATACAATACCGCTGCACGCTCGTGGAATCTGGCTGCATGAGTACAGACAATACTGCTGCGCAGCATTCATTGTGTTGGTGAGTGGCCTGGTTCATTCTCCTGGCCCACGCGCTGCTTGACCGTCAATCGCTACGCATAGCAACACCGCTGTCCAGTGTAGCAATGCACTGGGCCAGTTCCCGGAACAAAGAGGAAATTACGCGACACTGCACAATGGGGGCTCTTTACTGGGCGGCAGGTGTGGCTGCAAATACTCAGGGTCCCGAAGATACCGACTTAGCTGGAGTTTACTGTATTTCCTACTGCTGCGTTAGTTCAACTTTTTAAAAAGAAATTGGAGCAGTCATCGGTAATTGAAAATGCAAACCAAGAACAATAAAATTCACATTACATCTGGAAAATGTCAGATAATGACCCAAGCTACCAGTACCTGTACATTGGCTGCATGCTTAATGCTGACGTACCATGCTCATTCAGTGCTTGACGACAAATTAAAAGCACATCTGCGAAAAACCACTGTGTAACTTTGGGCCAACTGCACTGGCCGAAATGGAAAGTTCTTCAGCTAAAGCCGTCCAGAAATCATACAGAAGTTTAAAACTCTTCCAGTTCAGTGATAAACATGGCCTCCAAGGTGCTTTAAATTACCATTGTAGCAGTGAGCTTGAAAGCAATGGGATTAAACTTTGAAAGCATTTAGACACTGTTTTATCTGGAAAGTTGACTAGATCATGCTCAGTTAGCATTTTTACAAGCAAAGGGACAATGGTGTCCCTACTGTGATTGTACGTTATCTGAGCTGGTTGGGTCCGGAAACATTTTTAGTAATCATTTCAACTTTCTAGGGAGTACATAAAAATCCTTTGGAATCATTTCATGCCCGCACAGGTTCCATACTCCTGGATGGAGAGAGGCCAGTGAGCATAGGAAATAAAATGATTTGCCCAAGCTTATTCACAATTGCATGCTTCAGTGCTGGATTTGAACCCTGACCTTGTCATCCTGGAGAAAATGCAACTTATTTAGGAATGGCTGTTTGCAATCTCGATGGACCTGTTCTTTTGCAAATGTGATCTTTGATCTAGTTGATACTTGTAGTCTTCCAAGCATGCCGTTCCGAGCTAGACGATAAGTTTCATGAGGGATACTTCAACAGTCAACGCACTATTGGTCACCACTCTATTGAACACTATACATCCCGCTAAAAATTTTACCCAAACAACATTGTGGTTTTTTTTGTGTATTGATGATTCACTTCACCGCAGGAACATCCCTGCGGTGGGAACATATTCCTGTAATAGATTGAATGTGAATGCTCCATTGTGGCCATACGGATTCATGGCTCAGTGACCTCTTCATTTTACTTAAGCCTGTTTTAAAAGAAACGTCTCTGCCATTTCTCTGAACTCCCAGGTACTCTGTACCTTGGAAGGATTATTTTCATCTCTGTTCCTGGTATGGGTAGACAAATAAGAAACAGGATTTTTTTAACCAACAAGTTAAAAACATGTTCTGCACTCACCTGTTGCTGCTACTGGTATTCGGTGAAGAACTTCAGCGGTCTTTTGGTGTTGGGGAGGATTCGATTGGCTTGTTTGCATCATGTGACATGGTTATGAGAAAGTCTCGAACATTCCATATGTACGTGGTCATGTACAGATCACGCCACTCGTCAGTCTAGGGAATTCCCCCAGACTTGTTTTTCTATCATAGGAAGTACTGCTTAACAGAACGTGCATAGAATAGGCATTTGTTGCTTGTGTACATGTGTGTGTGAAGGGTGAGGGAGACATGTGTATGAATCTGAGGTAACTCCTTCATTTTAATACAAACATGTGACCAAAATATTCTGGGAAATACATGCATACTGGTACATGATGAGGTCTACCGTACATGCATCAATACCTTGTGCCAGTACCAGGGTTATTACATTTCCTTTTGTGTTCAAATGATCATTCTTGCCGTCAAAATTCTGTCGTTGGCACCAAATCAAAGAGGTCACTGCATACACTGCCACTTGGTGTCAGAAGTGTTCGGCCTCTATTGACCAATGCCCCACCAATGCACATATTGTCCAGCCCTAGCCACCAACCTAACTTTTACATCTTCGCAGTCAGTAAAATTGGAGAAATTTGTCTTATCCCCCCCCCCAAAAAAATGAAGTAATGTCCTTCATCAGAAGGCTGAAGACGGAAAAATGTTTGGGAGCAACCTGTGGGAGATAATTGGGTGTCGGTGAACTCTTGCAAAGAGGAGGTCAGCTAGACTAGAGCTGATTCCCTCATAGACACAGTGTTTCCCTGCCTGATGTGCATGTATTTGAATGTGAGGCAGCCTACCTCATTAATTTTAGGGGTACAAATGTGGGTCCACGTTTTGTATCTAGATTGGACTCATTTTGCCTTTCCTACTGGCGAAGAACAGTGCAATTGTGAAGCTAGTGACGCGCTAAGAATCTTCTTTACATTATAGCACTTTTCATAGGAGAATGTGTGACCTCGCTACCATTTTCTTCGATAGTTTTATAGAGAGTTGTGTAAACACGCCTAGCAGTCGTGACAGGTTAAAGTGTCAGATTTCCCATTTCCATGTATTTGTACATGCACACAAGTCCGTGGAGGTGGCTGTGTGTTGAACTTGGTTATGTTGTTGGCCCTAGATCATTTGCAGAAATGATGTCCTGGCAGGGAGCGTTGTACAAATCTTGTGCAAGTAATG